ATCACAGACATGTACACTTGACTGTCAAGCACTGCAGTAATCAACACCTCAGCCCTCCTCATCCACTAATCCCCACGGGAAAGAAGATCTTCACACACACACACACACACACACACACACACACACACACACACACACAATAACCGAGACACTGTGATGCCGTTCTACCTGCACCAGGCTGTATCTCTTTGTGTGTTTTTCTGTTTAAATTTTTTGTTCATTGCACTATTAGCCTTTATCAACACACCCATTTCAACTACAAGTGATGGATGATTTTTACATTATAATGCTAGAAAAGTATTATAATAAACTACCTAAGGTGAGAAACAGAATTTTTAATGATACCAGAATACAGAATACTGAATTTTCAGTCATCAAAGACTATTTAAATAAAACAATTTGAGCTTTTTCTCCCAGGTGTAGCACACAATGTGAGACTTCACGCATCAACCTTCTTTTAGGAATGATAAGTTCTTGTGTAAAATAATTCAGAATAAAACATAAAATTTACCATAATGCACGTCTACATATTTGTTTCTTTGTCCACCAACTCCTCCCATACAATCAGCAACTGAGCAACCAAACTTGGTACACAGGTACATCTTAGGCCCCTGAAGGTTCTTATCTATAGATATTATGACCTTGTCGTGTTGCCTAGCAACCAGATACCAACTGGCAAAAATAACCCATTTATGCACCTATACACCTTATAAAACCATTATGTCATGCTTATAGTGTCAACATTACACTATACCATTCTGACACATCAACTTATCGTGGCTATTAAAACTTACATAATACTAATAACTGTCTAAATGTACTTGAAGCAATAGGATTTAAAGTCACGTAAATTAATCCAGGCTAAAAATCACCTTTTTTTCCCCTGAATGCCATTGCGTTGGTTTTTGTCGGTGTGTAAATAATTAAGTAAAAAAAATAAATGTTAAAAAAAATCAAATCAGGATTGTAATAAAACTGTTACAGTTGTGTTTAAATCTGTGACCAGAAGCCTAGAAAGTGAATCATATTTGGACACTTTGAGCCACAATGTGTGAAATAACTGCTGGCAATGTGAACTGGGTAGGAACTGTGATTCCCTGTGATTTCAGACTACCAATAAGTGTGAAGAATACCATTTATTGACATATGACCTGTTAGTAAATACATCAGAGGGTCACCAAGACAACCCGAGCCTGAAATGTACGTAAACCATGAGCTGGTGTGCACAAAGAAAATGGAATTTGAGTATTTTGTGGGTCTCCCAAAAACCACCTCAGACCTTCTTTAAAAACTTCCCTGTCCCCAGTGAGCCTAAAAAACCACTAACTAACAAAATGTAAATAATAAGACTCTAAAAACACCCTACAGAGAAGAGTCAGAGCTGATAACAGCGTTGTGGATGCTGTGAGGGAAGTTTAAATGCTAGTTAACCATACCATGTTGTTTTCTGTCTCGTTCTTTCCCTGCATGCTGGTTTCGCTCTGCCTGTTGGTAAAGGTTTCCTCTCTGTCTGCCCTGCAAGAGAAAAAAAAAGGTGAATCTTAAAAGATATTAATGTAAGAAAACCACCTGATCTTTACTACTTTGTCAGGTACGTACACTAAATAATCATTTCTGTGTTGCTGGGTACCTGTGGGGTTTTCCGAGTATTTTCTGTGTGAAATGGGTCAGTTTCACTATCTCTTCCTGGTACCTTTGCAAGTCTTGGGTCAGTAATTTATGGAGCGTGCTCAGTGCCTCCTCCTGGAACACCAGCCTCTCAGACTGGACCAAATGCTCAGTGATCGTGGCCTGAAGCTCCCGACAAGCAGACAACTGAAGCTACGATGCAAAGGAATGGAAAATGTTTTTAACATAAGGCTCAGGAGGAGCAGCTCTGAGTAAAGACAGTGAGATTTATGACTTATTTGCTTCAATATTCGGATTCCTCAACACTGGCACAGTTTGTTGGTTTTATCTCTGGCCTTGTGTGTGTTAACTTCTGAGCCACTTTCATCATCAGTCTTGTTTCAAAACGCTGCATGCCCGAACACAGACGCTGATTCATGACCTCGGGATCGGCACCATCTAAGAGAGGATCCCACCCACTTCTCGTGTTTGCAATGTTCAGTTAGTCAGAAGAAAGTTGGCTTAAAGGGAGAGGAAAGAGCTAAATTTGCTTGTTTCAGACAGTGGAGATGAAGTTTAAAAAGTATTATTTTAACCTGTGATTCATGCAAAGCTACTCTAGTACAGCCCAAGAATAACACAGTGGAGCTGGAAAACAATCAGACCTCTACAAGACACGGACTCCTGCTGTGCTCACTTACTGTGGATGTCTGAAGGCAGGAGTTTCTCTTCAGCTCTTGTTCCGCCTGTTTCTTCCTCTTCTGAAGATCAGACAGCTCAGTGGTCAGCAGCTGCTGGCGGCCTTCAATCTGAAAGAGTCTGACGACACAAACAGAAAAATTTAGTTTGCAAATTGAATGTCAAACTCCCGTCTGATCTGGAAAAACTAGAACTCAAACTGTGGCAGATAGCATATATTGTGATTTCTCATAATAACATTTTCACTATGAATTACTTAAAAAAATAGCACAGTAACATGCTGATTTTTACTAAAGGGACACTGGCAGAAATACGAGCTATATGCATACATTTGGACAAAATCTGGTTCAATAACATAGACAAACGGGAAGACGTGGACAGAAATGAAGCTAACATGCTTAGAAGAAAATGCACAAACAATGAACAAACTTCAATGCAAAACTAGTAAAAACATGGATGAGAGTCAGATATTTCTGGGGAGGAAAGCATGCAATAGAAGCTTAAGCTCTGCTGTTCTTTGTTCCTGAGCTGCTTCTGAACTCAGTGAGAAGGACGAGGCAGTGCAAACTTTAATCCTCTCTGTTTGTTTTATAGCAGCTGAGAGATTTGCCTGAGAAAACACGGCCGACAGGTACAGCATCACAGCTCAAGAACTTTAAATGACTGAATAACTTGTGATACTTTAAACACTCAACCCTCCAGTCCTGTGCTTTTCTCTTTTCACTATTTTCCTCAAAACACTCCACATAATAAAGCCTTGACAGCTATTTTGTAACCACATCAAGTGTTGCTGACTAACCTGTGGGGTCCCATTTAACTTGAAACTGTCCCTCCCTTGAACAAACACAGCGTTTTCCTAGTTACACACAGAGCTGAACAGCTGATGCAGATTCAGTGATTGTTGCTCCCGGTTTAAGTCAACATACTCAAAAACCACACTCTGACTCACAATAACATGGACTGTAGGTGCTGTTGTCTCTTGCACAGCTACATTCTGATATTAACTACTGTTATCTGTTATGAGCTAGTACAGTCACAGCAGCAGAATTTGATTAGAAAAAGCAAAAAGATAGTGGTAGTAGTGCCTATGGCTACTTACTTAGCCCCGAGTACAAACAGGGGAAATAATAAAGGCCCTATATAGCTACATAATAAGATGCACTGCCTCTTCAAGGTACTGTACATGCACTGTCATTAAGCATACGTCCACTGGGAGGCACTAAACCTCTGCACGAGTGTCAGAAGAGCAGGTGATGAGAGGCCGAGAAGTGTTTTGTTTGCAAGGACGAAGAGGAGGCTCATCTGAGAAGCCTTTGATGAACTAACTGAAGAATCGACATGTAGAGAAAGACAAATTAGCAGGAACGATACAAACAACCAAAACAAAAAACACAAAGGCACTCTGGGAAATATATTAACATTGTGTTAATGAGGTTTTCAAGAGGGCCCACTGACTCGGCTGTGTGTCATGAGAGCTGTTGTGAGACGGACAGAAAGTGGAGGTAAAGCTCAAAGAGGACTAGAATCTTTGATTTACATTCACTTCGAGCGGCTGGAAGAAAGAGAAAGGATATTGTTTGGAAGTTGTGCAAATGTCTCAGTTTAAGAGAGAAAAACCTAAACTGCAGCCCAAAAAGTGAGGAGAGCTCTGTTATACCAATATTTGAATATTTCTGTCCTGGTGGAAAATGACGAGGCCTCCACAGTCACATAAGCTCAACCCAGCTGAACAATTTTTTGGGGATTTTGGAGCAACGTCTTAAGACAGAGCTCTCCTCCACCATCATCAGACCATCATGTGATCATCATGTTTCAAAGACATTTATGCTGGATTATGTCATCTACTTTAAAGCAGGAAACTTTATTAAGAAACTTCATGCTCTAAAATATATATGAATATAGTGGTTTTCAAAAATTAACAACATATATATAGCAAAGTCTTAACAGATCAGAACCAAGGTCTTCAAGTGCTCCAACAACCATGAAGTATGTACATTAAGCGAGGTGCTATCAGGTTACACAGTCATATGTCAAGTTTTGTTTTCCTGTGGTTTTTAAACTTGTTCTCTTTTACCCATATAACACAGCTGAGGCAATATAAATAAAGATTCCAGATGCAATACTTGGCTTTGGTGGACAAACCTTTAGTCGAGTATTCTGAATTTTGTTAGATTTTTCTAAAGGTGCCTGGACATCGGAGAGATGAAGACAGATTGCATTTGCTAGCATTTGTTTTTGTGGGGTTTTTTGGGATCGGAGTGAATTTCACATGAGCCTCATGTTTCTCCCATTTTCTCTGTGTAACTTTTTTTAAAAGTTAAGAACCAACAACAGTTTAGTGTCATTTCGGCTGAAATCAGGGACAGCGGTATCACTGCAAACTGTGCGGTGTAGCTCTGCCCTGCTGGACTGTGGATGAAGTTCCAATTTTTTTTTTCCAACTTCTTCAGAAATCTACATTTTTCAGTTCATTGTTTAGAAGAAATTAACATTGTGAGGGAATAAAAATTCTGAAGTTTATGCAAATTAACTCATCAGTCACCTGTCAATCAAACCTGATCTTAACCAATCAAAAGACTTCATTAAAACACTGCGATGAGGAACATCACCCATCCCGGTGAAAAGACATTAATTACCAATGAGCCTGTGTGTGTGTGTGTGTGTGTGTGTGTGTGTGTATGTGAGAGAGAGAGAGAGAGAGAGAGAGAGAGAGAACAAGAGCGAGAGAGAGCGAGAGAGAGAGAGAGAGAACGCACATTCACGTGAACATGTAAACAGACGCACATCTCACCACATGGTAACAATGTGTCAAATCCTGCTTTCTGTGAAACACACACACACACACGCACACAGCCAGCTGTCAGTGTGCTCTGATTAGGGGCTTATGTACAGAAAAGCGTGAATAGGGTTCCATAATTATGTGAATGTATGTGACAAACACATTTTACTCCATAATTGCAGGTGAAAAACGTGTGGGTGTCATTTTATTTATTTAAAAAAAAAAATTATATTAATGTATCTCACTGCTTGCAGCTTGTCACATATATAATTTTCCTTGTGTCTGGTTTACACAGAATCTATACACTGTGGCATATAGAATTTATTCTCAGGTATAAAATCTGTTCCAGAACACATTTCCATCATGGACAAAGGTGACGCTATACAGCTTTATGTAAATGATCATGCATGTTAATGCCAAGCTCCACTTTTACTCCAATCTCTGCTGAAATCATACATTTAGAGCCGAAACTAAAGCTGTTTGCAGGTGCATCCACAAGTTACAGATTCAACACTCTGACTATGTCACTGGATCGCCAGATAATTAGCCACAGCAAAAGTTCTCATAACAGATTTGAAGAGCAGCTAAGACCGTCATTATCACCACTGAAGTAAATATCTTATGGAGGCTTTGCTGGACTGATATATTACAAAGAAAGGGAGAAGGAAAGGGAGAAGGAGGAGGGCATGACAGAAACTGATTTCAACAAAGAAAGGAGAGGAGAGAAGAAATCTTGTTGAGTCTTGTTTAATCAAACATCCTTGATATGCTGAAAGACGGGAAGAAAGCCATGAAAGAAAAAAAAAGTGTAAGGCAAGAAAGAAAGAGAAATCAAGAAAGGTTAAATAAAAGAGATGGAATACAAAAAGAAAGACCTGATTTTGCGTATATAAGAGAGAAACTAATAAATACAAATTTTAAAAGGATCAGACCTGGATATTTAAGAATAAACCCGGGGGAAAAAAAGGTCCACTTTTAAGTTTCAAAAAAAGGCAGGTGGACTTTGCACTGTACTTGTGCAACTTCCTATTATCATACCTCAGTCTCACAGCCAAATATAAAATATTCACAAAAATTTAAGCTCATGCACAAAAGCTGTAGTGCTTTCAGGCTAAAAGCATGACAAAGAGAAGAGAAGGTGGCTATCATTAATTTTTACATTTTAGTGGAAACAAAGTTTCATTTTCATGTTTTATTAGATTTAGGAATCATGACTGGTTAAATTTAGCAAAACATAGCTGCTAGTATGAAGCCTGGATGCTGGTAGAGCAGTTTAAAAAAAACATACAGTTCATCTATGAAACAAACTTCTTTTTGAAATACATCTGTCCAACGTCATGTGAACTTTCAAAAAAGGTAAAACCTTTGTACATGTGCAGAAACAGATCATAGATTTATATAATTTCATTACTAGTCAAAGTTGCATCTTCTGGGTATTAAAAAAAAACTAAGTCAACTCATGAATGCCGCGGTTCTTTCAGTGGCTCCAAAAGCTGTCCAGCGCCCACAGACCTCCACATTAAAACATTCAACTCTAAACTTTGTATGTTTTTGAAGTGGAAATATTTGACAAATAACATAATAAACACTGTGGTACAGCACATCCAAGACATTTTTGCTTCAGTTTCAGTGAGGGGGAAATCCAGTATTTTCTTGTTTTGTAAGAGCTAGCATTA